GGGTTTTCTATTCGAATCCACTGGTCTGTATGTCTCTTCTTATTCCCCTCTCTGGCATTTTTTAATTAAATTTTGGATATTGTGATTTTACCTTGTTGGGTGATAGAAGTTATATTTCTATAAATGGTCTGGAGTTTTGAGACAGATCAGATCTTTCACATTAGCTTAATACTTTTGGGTCTTGCTTTTAGGATTGTTAGGTGGGACTTGGGCAGTTTGGTTTTGAGTTACCTCAGTAGAGGGTAGTCCTCCTGAGTTCTCTACTTAGTGCTAAATGAATGGTCGGTTACCAGCGTGGCTGGTTGGAACAGGTGCTACTCCATGCTTACTGAGTGCTTTCATGATTAAACTTACATAAAGTAAATCAGTCAGGGACCAAACTACTTTTGCCATGACAGAGAGACCATATGGTTGAGCTCTAATTGTTCTCTTTTTTTTATTTTGGAGACTATGTAGTGCAGCCTGTTAGTACTGCCCTCATATCTGTAGGCTACCATTGATCAAAACATCTTAAGCAATAATGTTATTCTGATATTACTTTTTTCCATTATTAGTAATCATTTTCTCTAAGTCTTATTTATATTCTCTTCCTTTTTGTAAATCCTCATTATTGGTGAGGTTGTCTCAAAAATACACTCTTATGCCTACATTTGCTTTTTACTTGTTTATTAAATAAATGAAGCTATTCTTTATTTAGTGTAGTATAATTCGTTAAGATTTATTATTTTAGTTCATTACTTTGGGCTAGTATGTAGAGGAGACGTGGGTCCAGCAGAGTGCGCTGTTGACCTTCAGGTGAAGAGTTTATATTGCACAAAACTTTTGCCTATTTCTCCTTTCAAACCCCTGATTTCAGGTGAAGAGTTGATGTTGGACAAAACTTTTGGTTATTTCCTCCCTTTCAGGCCCCTGGCTTTTCTTTATCCCCATTTCTCCCTTATTCCCACTTTGCCTCTCTCCTTCCTTCTCTTCCTTCAATATTTAGGATGTTCTCTAATATTTCAGGGGAAAGATGATGATTATTTTTTTTTTTTTTTTAAGATTTATTTATTTTTGCATAC